CGATCATGAATGTGTTATTTTATGCAAAAAAGAGAGAAAGAAACAGAGATTTGTCAAAGAAACAATATTAATTTCGAATGTTTAGATTTTAATGGTTGCAGTGTGTTTTTTTATATATAACTACTACCCTAAAACGGTACCATTCCCAACAGAAAATAGACATTAACATTCCCAATTTCCAATGTTAAATTCCCAAAATGGCTGCTCAAAATGCCCACAAGGCCAAGTGATTTTTCTAAGATCATTTAAATCCAACATATTCATATAAATCACCACTCAACAGTTCTATTTTGACAGTAGAAGCTGTTAGCTATCTTTAATCATGATGTCTAATCTCATTTATAGCTGAAAAAATGCATTAAAAAAATTCCCAATTATAGTCAAAATAACGCATTTTTTCCCAATCAGTCTGGTACCGGCACCATTCCCAAAGTAGAGAAAAACAACGCTTGGTTGTGTATTTTGTCTTAAAGAAATCTAACTACAAATATAAATTCATGTACAAAGAAAAAATACAGGCTCGTATGGCTAGCCACTTCCATTTGAAAATTCATGCAATTTAAATAACAGTAGAAAAACTAGTCCTAGTGAGCGTTGCAAACTGCAATTACAAGATGATATCGCATTTCTATTAGGCAATTATGATCATTGCCAAGTAATTATCCTTCAAACTGCTGCAGAAAAAAATCTTCATATAATTTCTACAAATTAATGCTCCAAAAATTTTTAACAGTCAAGTTTTCGAACATTTTCACATCTTTAAGACAATGTTTATTTTTGTTTGTTTGTTTGATTTGGTTTTATGTCACACCGACACAGTATAGGTCATATGGCGACGTTATAGTTTTACTGGTGGAGGAAGACCTCATGTGCCCTTCCGTGCATTATTTCAGGCCTGAACGGGCACCTAAGTAGAACCACCGACATTCCGTTAGCTAGCTGGATAGCTTCCTCACATGAAAGAATCCAAAGTTCCTGTTGGGATTCGAACCCACAGCTGTAAGGGGCAAGTGGTTTTAAGTCAACGACCTTTACCAGTCGGCCACGGACGCGCCCTTGTTTATCTTGACTCGCCAAAATACCTCAACAATTATCAGCAATTATTTTTATGCAGATGTCTTTAATCATGTAATCAGCAAAAATACAGATTGAATCTCTCGCCATTTTGTGCTATTGTCAATAAATAGCCGCTGTATGTTAGTGTGCAGTGTTTTTTTTTCACTTTTGAAGGAAGGGGGTCGGTGCCCTTTGGAGGGGGAAAAATGCAATAGGTGAGGGAATTTTATTTCTTCACAAATGAAGAAAAATGAAAAACAATACAGATTTGCTGTTGTGCAACATTTTTTTCTTACCGTTAGTGAAGATGAGCAAAATTTGCAACACAAGTTTAAAATTCGTCGTCGCTTGTTTAGAAGATGAGATGATCAAGGCAAAAGATAAGCCCCATGATTGGCCCCTTTTAGGGGCAGCTAAAGCTAAAAATATCAGGGCTCTCGTTAGCATTTTGAGACTGGGGCCAGGGTCCATGCAGGGGGAGGGGAATTATGCATGATTTTCAAATATTTTTCATTCAAGGGGGATTTTTTTTGTCGGTAAGACTTGAAATTGTGCGACATGTTGGAATGCTAAAAACTGTCCGGAACGTTTTATATATATATATATATATATATATATATATATATATATATATAATATTTTCTAATTTCCGATTGCTGTTCGCGGAATACGTACTAATTTCCGGTTGCCGTTCGCGGAATATATATTCGCCAATCGGCGTTTTCTATGCCCGTTAAATATTAATTTCAAGGGGGATTTTTTTAGGTTTAAGGGGGGTGGGAAATCACACTATTTTGGTGGGGGAATGGGGCCGATATTCGCCCCCAAATTTTACCAAACCAGAGCCCTGAATAGAAATACTTTTAAACGTCTATTTCTACAGAACCAATTGATAGATGATCACCAAACTGACTGTAGTAGCATTCTTAGGTAGTCTTTAAACAAGTTTGCTCATATTAATTTGATTGGCCTCTTTTAGGGGTCTCTAGAGCTAAAAATAGAAAAAAACCTTTAGACATCTTTTTGTACAGAAGTAATAGATGGATGATCACCAAACATTGTACATAGCATTCTTGGATAGTCTTACATCAAATTTGCTCAAGTTAAAGACGTTTTCGGTAGTTTTTGTGCGCATCGTTATGCGCATCCAAGAAAGATAATCACGGATAATTAAAAAGAAGGTCAAGTTTAATAGTACTCGGATAACTGTTAAATTTCGGCCACAAGCAAATAATACAAAATAGATATTTCTAAATGTTCAGGAGGAGATCGATTCAAAAGAATAAGAGAACGTTTAGACAGCATCAGATAAAGGATTTCTCCTAGCATTAGTACGACAGCATTGATGATGATTCTGCGCGCGTTACCCCACCCACTTGTTGTATAATGACGAAAGTGCGTTGCCACTTGATTACTGGCAGACAAGTGGGCAAAGAAGTTAAAAATGATATATTAGAAAAGCGTTGAATAAAAAACATAATAATATCGAAGAAATGTTCCGATTTTCATTATTTTCTTTGTAAATTTCTGATTATTTGCTTACTGTTCGGGTATGTTAGTCGGTCGAAGAAATAATATGGCCTTAATTTATAACCTGTTCTAAAAACATATTTAGTATCATTACTAAATATAACATCAAAAGAAATAGAACTTTATAATACAACTTGTTTTTGTTGTATATATGACAATGCATTTAGTATAACACTGATATTTCTTACGAAAGCGTGGTAATTTTGACAGTTGGCATATGCTGTAACCATGGAAACTGCCCGTTTTCACAAAAAAAAAAAAAAAAACTAACACGTCAACATATATTTTTATTTCTATTTTTGAATCCACCATACAATTTTACATGATTTATCAAAAATGTAGAAAATTCTATGAAAGAAATTTCTTGATAGCTTGAATTATTTACAGAATTCATGTTTATTTTTCTTATTTTTTGTTCAGTTAAAAAGCATGAAAAACTCATTTTTTAAAGAATTATGTTCAGATTATCGTTTGTTTTATACAGAACCCTTAAATATAGCAAGTTTTGTTTGAAAATATGTTTATTCTGTTTGTAATAAGCTGTTTTGTACATTTTTATAACACAGTTTGGCTATTTTGACAGTTTTGAGATATACGGTTACCATGGAAACTACCATTTTTCAAAAAATCTAACAGGCCAACATATATTTTTCTTATAATTTTTGAATTTGTCATTAAATTGTACACAAAAAACAAAAAAAAATAGAAAATCCTATGAAACAAATTTTTCAATATCTTTAATTATTCGCAGAGTTCATGTTTATTTTTATCATTTTTGTTCAGTTAAGGAGCACGGAAAACTGTTTTTTTTAAAGAAATATGTTTAGATTATCATTTGTTGCATACAGAATCATTGGATAAGGTTATCTTTGCATAAAACATTGCTTGTTGTGTGTATTAAGCTATCTTATACATTTTCTATTTGTTATAACACACTTTGGCTATATTAACAGTTTTTAGATATATGGTTACCATGGAAACTGCCATTTTACAAGAAGTCCAACACGTCAACATATATTTTTCTTTTTATTTTTGAATTCGCCATTAAATTTTACTTATCATACAAAAAATTAAGAAAATTCTATGAAAGGATTAAATTTTCATAAAACTGTAGAAAATGTCTTTAATTTGTAGTCTTTAATCAAGTTTGCTCATTTTGTTTGATTGGCTTAACTACATGTACCATGGGTCATGGCATTTTTTCAAATTATTGTTTAAACAAATTCTTTGCTCAAATTTAATATTAGAAACTATTTACAATGAATAATTTCCAACAGTGAAAAGCAGTTGTTTCTAGTGAGTGACTCAGGGCCATGATGGCCCTCTTGTTTAACAGTTCCAATCCGAATCACTGCAGTCTTGTAATACGGATACCAAACTGATTATCTCACAATACAAATTTAAAACTTATGCTGTACCATTATGAGGACCAAACCTTGCGGGGACTGAATACACAGGAAATGCAGCCATATTTGTATTTACCATGATGCAGCCATGTGCAAATTAAATGGTTTTATGTGTTTTTTTGCTTAAAAGGAAGCATGTGCTGAATTCAGTTGAGTTGCTGAGTGAATCTGGTTTTTGATTTGTTTTCAAAGTCACTCATCATGGATCACTCTAACATTGCTATTAGAAGATAAAAAAAATCCATTACAAATTTTATTAAGGTATGTGCATATTTCAACATTTTAAAATTTTTAAAATTACATATATTGGGACTTGGTGAGTTTCATGTGATTGGACAGAATTTGTACATTTTAAGAAAATGTCTTTAAAAGGGTACATTGAGATGTCAAACAAAGTGAAATGTAAATTTTGTTGCATACTGAGATGCAATTAGGAATTGTTTACCACTTCAAGGTAAAACGCATGGAACCTTTTGAACAAAGTGTAAAAGAAATTGTTAAGAAGTTACAATGTATTAAGACATGCCCTGGTGAACATACTTTGTTTAGACTTAAAATTAAGAAGTAAAGATCATGTGTAGAAAAATTTATCCTTTAGTTGAATGTAAATGTTATTGGAATGCCCTTGTGTTTAAAAAAAAGTGATTATTTAACAAATTTGAAAATGAGACAGGAATACAGGTCTGTTTATCCATAATTGTATTTCTAACTGATTTTGTGTTTCAAAACGCACCAGGTCTACATCCATTTTTAGCTCGACTATTCGTAGAATAATCAAGCTAATGCAGTAACCCAAATTGCCAGCGTTGCTGTCCCCGTATTTAAGTTTTTGCATGCAAGCTATTATCTCCATTACTACTGAAGGGAATGGATTGAAACTTCACACGCTTGTTCTCTGTGATTATCTTACATGATTGACACAAGTCCCATAATTCTGTTTTGCTATTTTGCATAAAAATGCCTCTTTTTTGACATAGAAATTCTTGGTTAAGTTTTTGCGTGCAAGCTGGTATCTCTATAACTACTGAAGGATTGAAACTTCATACATTTGCTCTCTGTGATTAACTTACATGATTGGCCCAAGTCCCATAACTCTTATTGCTTTTTTGCATAATTATGCCCCTTTTTTGACTTAAAAATTCTTGGTTAATTTTTTGCGAAAATTCTTGGTTAATTTTTTGCGTGCAAGCTCGATTCTTGGTTAAGTTTTTGCGTGCAAGCTTGTATCTTAATAACTACAGAAGGGAATGGATTGAAACTTCACACACTTGTTCTCTGTGATTATCTTACATGATTGGCCCAAGTTCTATAACTCTTATTTGCTTTTTTTGCATAATTATGTCCCTTTTCGACTTAGAAATTCTTGGTTAAGTTTTTGCTTGTAAGCTGGTATCAAGTCCTTGTACCTTTTTGAACAATTATATATATTCATATGGTTAGGATTATTATACTCAATGAAACACCCTTGTGACAAGTTTTTGAATAGTCAAGCATCAGCTCTTGTTTCAATTACACAAATAAACATAATTTAATGCCTATTATAATAACAAGCACTAAATTAGATAACTTCTTACTTAAAACCAATTGGAGGTACATGTAGAACATAACAAAGAACATTGTATGCTGGGTTTTTTTGTTTTTTTTTGCATGTATTTATGAGAAGAGTCTGTAGCAGGACAAATGAAAAATTAAAGCATAAGCTATGTCCAATAGAATGTGTGAAAATTGACAAAACAAAAGAATGATAGAATGGATTGATATCAACTGACACCAAAGTGGCATTTTTGTGTTATTTTTAAAGGCACACAATCGCAACTCAATTTGATTGCTTTTTTTCAGTGTAGACACAAATTCATTTGCTTTTCAATAAATGTTAGACTTTTCAATTATGTCTACCTCCTAAGAAAAATCTGAATCATAAAGTGAAAGACCAGACTTTTTCAGTCACCATTTTCTTCCTTGTTCATAATTATTACAAATTTAAAGGGTTTAAATGTTAAGAAACAGTACAGCTTTAACAATTTTTTCAAAGTCTGCCGATCTCCGCACTTTTTTTATAGGTGGATTGTCACCACCACGTCCCTGCGACAGATGTGACTTTCCGCTCATCACCTGATCAGGTGAAATTCATGCTGCATGGTATTTTCACAGCAGATCATTGTATAATAACTAATATTGCAGTGACATTTCAATCTCTTGGGTGACCATTAAACAATTAATTACATGCAGACTTATCTGTAAAAAATAACACACACTGTGTTTGCCCCCCTAAAATTTTTGAAGGCCGGAAATTTGGTGCCCTTTTTAAATGTTAAATAAAATATTTAAAAATAATTAAATGTTGGTTTTCGTTACCGAAATTCATTGCCGATTGTTAAAATTCCATATACAGATGAAATTACAGCTTTTATCAAAGTTATATTTAAGTGTTACTGATTTTTTTCTAACAAGACTACATGTTACATGTACGCGAACATTTATATGCGATATAGATCACATCGAATCTCCGTGATTTTCCACCGGGGATTGCAGGGATTTTCTTTACCCGTCTGGTGATTTGTCGCTGTGACTGACCATAGTAGTCCCCCACGATTTTCAGCTTGCCGTTAAAAGTACCTGTGGTGACAAAGATGAAAGTGCAAAAAACGTCTGAGCTGTACTGTACATGTTTAAAATTTTATATTGAATGACCTATAATCTTGATCAATAGTGTAATAGTCAACTACTACATGTATATATATTATACTTCCAGGAATGAGAAAAAGAAGTAAACCAGAGAACATTGCAATGGAATGGATCTTAAGACAGGATGATCCTCCGGGGTTTAGGATTGAAAAGTTTCCAGATAAAGGTATAAGTCAACCTGATAGATATAATTTGTTTATAGTTTCCAAAATTGAAAAAAAAGCCAGACAGAAGTTAAAATGTGTTTCTGTTTGCAGGAATATTTTTGTCAAAAAGTTTATGATGTTTTCACTTAGTATTACTACCCACTAATGCAGGCACAAACTCATCATTTAAGGTAGCAATATAGCAGACATTTCAATCATTTATCTTCTGTTCAGTCCTTAGGCTTACTACCCATAACCAAAATTTTGTATATCCGAAATTATGTGATCCAGTTTTTATTAGCTCACCAGAACTGAATTTCCGGGTGAGCTATTAGTATCAAAGGGGTATGCTCTGTTGTCCGTCGTCATGCGTCAACAATCATCTTCTCTGAAACTGCTGGACAGATTTACTTCAAATATGGTCTGTAGCATCCTTGTGACAGTCACACTTGAATTTGCTCATGTCATTCCAATTGGCCCCTTTTAGGGGTCAACAGAGCTAAAAATAGAAAAACCTGTAATCATCTACTATAGAACTAATGGATGGATGATCACCAAACTTTGTAGCATTCTAGGGTAGTCTTTTATCAAGTTTGCTCATATTAATTTGATTGACCTGTTTTAGGGGTCTCTAGGGCTAAAAATAGAAAAACCTTTAAACATCTTCTTCTACAGAACTAATGGATGGATGATCACCAAACTTTGTAGTATTCTAAGGTAGTCGTTTATCAAAATTACTCATATTAATTTGATTGGCCCCTTTTAGGGGTCTCTAGAGCTAAAAATAGAAAAAAAAACTCTAGACATCTTCTACAGAACAAATGGATGAATGATCAACAAACTTTGAAGCATTCTTGGGTAGTCTTTTATCAAGTTTGCTCATATTCAGTGTTTTTTCTCTACTTTGGGAATGGTGCCGTTACCAGACTGATAGGGAAAAAATGTGTTATTTGTCTTAAATTGGGAATTTTATTATGCATTTTTTCAGCTACTAATAAGATAAGTCATCATGAATAAAGACAGCTTAGAGCTTCCACTGTCCAGGTAAAACTATTTAGTGGTGATTTATATGAATATCATATGTTGGATTTAAATGATTTCATAGAAATCTCTTGGCCTTGCAACTATTTTGAACAGCCAATTTGGTAATTTAAACATTGGAAATTGGGAATTTTAGTGTCCTTTTTTCAATTGGGAACAGTGCTTTTTAGGGTAGTAGTTATATAAAGAAAAAAAAATATTGATATCAATTAGATTGGCCCCTTTTAGGGTCAGCTACAGCTAAAAATAGAAATTCCTTTAAACGTCTGCTTCTACAGAAGTTATTGATGGCTGATCACCAAACTTTGTCTGTAGCATTCTTAGGTAGTCTTTTATCAAGTTTGCTCATTTAAATTTGATTGGCCCTTTTTAAAGGTGGAATTTCTTATTTGGTGAGGTAAATAAATATCAGTTACATGTTTAAAAATCAATTGAATGTAATTTTTGGATTCAAAGTAACAATAGATGTACGGAAAATTCCTAAACACTATTTGGTAAAAGAGATGTGTTAACAGGGTTTTCTATCCTTTGCGACGCGCCTAGGTTGGACTTTATTTGAATTTATTTTGAAGCAATACCCTTTCTGAAACAGTGTGAATTAATTCATATGGTTCAAATTACTGTAATATAAAAAATGTAAACAAGTAAAACTGAGCTTCAGGTAAAATAGATAGTGAAACTAACCCTTTTGTAAATTTTAATATTAAAGGGAGGTAATTACAAAATTTCATAAAAACATGAAAGTCTGCCTTTAAGAGCTGCTAAAGCTAAAAATAGAATTACCTCCTACAGAACTAATGGATGGGTGATCACCAAATTTTGTTTGTGGCATTCTTAGGCAGTCTTTAATCAAGTTTGCTCATGTTAATTTGATTGGCCCATTTTTAGGTGCTGCTAAAGCTAAAAATAGAAATACCGTTGAAGATCATCTACTGAAATGATAGATGATCTCCAAACTTTGTCCGTAGCATTATTAGGGTTTGTTCATATTAATTTTATTGGCTCTATTTAAGCTAAAACTTAAATGCCCCAGGTCATGGCATTTCTTCAAATTATTGTTTAAAGATATTCTATGCTCAAATTTGATATTAGAAAATATTGACAATGGATAACCTCCAACAGTGAAAAGCAGTTGTTTCTGGTGAGTGACTCAGGGCCATCATAGCCCTCTTGTATTTAATACCTGTCCTGTGTAGAATATAAGTAAGAGTCCTAAATACTGTTGTATTGCTACTAACATTTACTTACTTAAACCGCTTGATTGTGGGGACATTTCAGGTCCCCAGAACATTCTCTCTCATTTTGCTTTGTTAGGACATTACATTGTGAGGAGTTGGGTCCTTAGAACATTTTCTCTTCTTTTCTCTCTCTTTTACTTTTCAATAATCTTTACCACTTTAAAGCTACATGCCTCCAGATGATTCATAATATTCTAACAATAAAAAAATGTACTTAAATTTTAGGAAATATAAAACTATTCAAGATTCAAGAAAATTTTACATGTTCTGTGCGATAATTGACTGATTTTCCAGTATTAACAATTATTTTTCTACTGTGTTACTAACACAGTATTTCTACTGTGTTACTAACACAGTAAGGGCTATTTATGCATATTTAGACCACTTTTTGGTAATTTACGTGGGTTGTATGTGGCATTGAAAATGTGTAAATTGCTTCTGTTTGGTTACTTCACAATATCAAACATTCAGATACATTTTCAAATTTTTCATTAAAATTACCATGAATCTGGAGGCGTGCTGCTTTAAATTAAAAAACCTGTGTACTGTTAATCACTTACAAAATTTTCATAATGCTTTTTGGATGATAAATTTATGTGCTAGATCACAATATCCGTAAAGGTAATTTAAGTTATAAATCTACACAATGAAAACAGCCTACAATTGTGCACACCTTTGCCGTATTTAGCACACATTTTAAATGTCAACAAAATACTTGAAAATATTTATAAATTAAAATTGAAAAAAAGCTATAGAATTGTCTTCAAAATGACAGAACTTTTGGTGATAAGATTTTAACTTTTTTTTTTCTGATGTTGATTATAGGAAGAGGAGTTGTGACTACAACAAGAAGACAACAAGGGGAATTCCTATTAGTATACAGAGGGGAAACTATATCTGAAGAAGAGGGGGAGAGGCGGGAAAAAGACGGTGGATCAGGATACAGGTTCTTCTTTAAGTTCAAGGGAAAAACTATTTGGTAAGAAGTTCTTTTATTTTGTTGTTACCTACCAGTAAAGTTTAATTTTAGCTGTAACATGTGCACTACGACTTGTGTTTAGCAGGCAGAAGACAAAGTAAAAGCCACAAGTACTTAAAATATGACCACTGAGCCAATATGCCATGATACTACACATATTTTTGTAATGGCCATTTCATGAAAGCCACTACGGGAAATTCTCAGCTTAGCTGAAGGGATGCAGTCTCCCCAATTTCAGTTTCTGCCACATGTCATGTCATTAAATTCAAAAGATCAAAAAGATATTTATTGCATTATATCAAAATATTTATTGAATGTGACGAAAAACAATAAATCAAACAATTATAGTAGATATCAAGGCAAGCTAAGTGTAACTTTCACACCTTAGCAGTTCATGCGTTTCGTCCATTAATCCAGCAAAATTACTCTTATCAGTTTGGTGTATGTTTACACCTGTATGATGTGCAATTACTTGTTATTTTGAATGTAGGTGTGAGAATTTGCAAAATCTGTTTGGATCCGACAGGTTAATTTTAGAGTAAAATAAGGACAAAATAATTGTACAGAATTCGGAATGGACAGGTTCCGGATCTGAAAGGTTTTCTTACTATTGAAAATAGAACAAATAAAATCGGGACGGGAAACTTCATTAGGATAAGAAAGGGTTCCGGATTAAAAGGGTTCGGATTAGCAAGGCTCCACTATACAATCAATTACTAGTAACACTAAAGAATTTTATAGATAACAATAAATCATGTTGAGCTAAATAATCTACATAATTTCAAAAAAGTTAATAAAGAACAATTCAGTAAATGAAAGAATTGTTGTTAAATGGAGTTTACCATAAATCAACTGAAACTTTCTAGAAAAAGCAATAATAATATATATTTGTTTTCTGAATTTAAAATTCAATTTTTGTCTGAACAGCAATGTAAACTGTATTATCAGTGTATTGCAATATTCATTCCTAATAACTCTAAGAAAAATCAGCTGGAAATGAAGAACTTTTAAGACTGTATTGAAACTGGTTCTTGAACAATTTCTAACTTTTAAATATCTGTGTAGATTTTGCTTATATTTCTCATAGTAAAATCTGTGTCAAAATATTTTCATAGTGCAATTATTCCTGCCTCCACCCTGACTTACCAAAATGAAGACGATGTCAGGGTATAAAAAAACTTGAATTCCCATGCAAGATTTATTGAAAATTCAGGGTCCATGTCTATTTTACCCTGATTTTTTCCAATTCATAAAATCCGTGCTGAATTTATCGTACAGGCTGGTAACAGTGATGTTTAAAAAATTAACTTTAGAGTGTCTTTCAGTCTGTTTGTTGATAAATCTTTCCTTAGATCACTTTTAAAGACTTTTGACAACAAATTTACTTAAAATAGAGAAAAGTTGAAACATTTAATAAGTTATACTGATTAATCCTGAGAAAATTGGACCTTTTGATTATCTGTCGTAGAAACATAATTTCCTTACTAGGCAGGGAAATTAACACATTACTATGATACAGAAAAACTTAGAACTCAAAAGATTTAAGTTCATTCATTTCATTCATTCATTCAGTGGCATAATGGAATGGCCAATGGCCCTTCAGAATTTTGCTAGGGGTTCTAACAAGTTGGGGACTTATGGATTGCTTGCAATACTATGATAATTGCTTGTTGTTTAATTTTTATTTCTGGTTGCCAGATTTGGCTACTTGCGGCAAAAACATGTTGCCCAAACCCAGTTTTTGGTTGCCACAAGCATTCTGGGGATCATTTATGATGAGCCATGTTATGTTATATATTAATATATTATATATTTTAATACATTGACTTAAATAATATAAACAAATAGACTGCTTTAGACTGTGCTTTGAATAGATTATTGATTGTTATAACATTTAAACATGCAGCAAACCACTTGCATTAATTTTCATTTGTTAAAAATTTTGTTTATAATACATAACATAGATAAGTGTATGTAGTTTCTGTATTCATGTAGTATTGACGCCACAGCAGAAACATCCATGCTTGGGCGTTTAGTGAATCATGGTTCAAAAAGAGAAAGAAATTGTAAAATGAAGGAAGTCAATGGCCATTTGTGCTTGTTTGCTATAAGGTAAATCAATTTCAAAATTTATTGACTGACTTTATTTCTTGACATTTTACATAATGTAGTTGTCTTAAAGTAAAGTGTTCTTTTTTAATGGTTATGTGCAGTTAAATCATTTTCAGAATGGTAAGTATGATTCCAATAGCACTTTTTAGATAAATGTAATGAAATGAGGTTATGATTTTAAAACTGATGGTCACAGTCTGTGTTACAAAAAAAGGGTAGTGGATAATGAATGGATCATGGGTATAAGTCTTAATCATGTAACTAGTAACACAGAATGGGCTTGATAGATAAGCATCAAACACCCATCACAGTCCAGTTGTGTTATATATATGTCTAAACTATAGTATACTTTACTGGTACATGTATTATCTTTTGTTATTTTAGTGACATATTGGAAGAGGAAGAGCTATTATATGATTACGGACTGACAGAATTACCTTGGGAAAAACAAAAAATGAATGTCAAAGTCCAAGAAAAACTTAAGGTATGAATCTGTAAAAAGTGAAAGTCCAAGGTTACAGTGGATCAGTTGTATTTCACCAAATGATGTATTCCAGAATATTTAACTTTTGATTTATGAATTGTTTGATGAATATATTTATGCAAAGTTTGCCTTTAAAGCCATATCCTTTAAGACAAAGATCAAGGTCAAAGTGGTTTGTTTAAACATTAAGTGGTATAATTAATGTCCTTAAAATAACTGTTATACCTCTAAAGCAGGAAGGCATTTAAGTTTGGACTACCCGTCTGTCATTTAATGAAATATTTATTAGCATTTGCTATTGATTTCAAATGGAAATTATTTTGTTCTTACATTTAAAAAGTCATGGAAAAGCATGATCATTTGTCACATAAATGACATATTTGTTATTTTCAACTACATGAGAAAATTTATTCTGTGATCTATGTAGCACTGTAATAAATTTTTCATTGTAGAGGAATTCTTCGAAAGGTATGCAGTTGAATTTAAAGTTGTTTTGTTCAAACGTTATATTGTTGTGGCAAAGATCAGAATATCTAGTTTAAAAGTAATTGTTTATGATAGTAACAAAGCTCTGTAGAGTTTCTGCTATACAGTTACATGAGAGCTAGATATTCCTGTCTGTAATTACAGCCAGTGTTTGATTTTCTTGCATATCACATGTAAATCATATTTTGTAAAAAAAATAATGAAAACTGATATTGTTATTTAGCACTTTTTTCTTATAGTAGGGTATGAATTACAACTTCATTCTTACAGCAAAATGACTTCCATTAAAGTCAACAATTAATTCATAAATGTATGTGACAATGACGTTATTTATAGCATGATACTCTTCTTACATTGGGGACGTCTTATAGGCAAGGATATATAAAATAACCACAATGACTATTGTTTTTTTCTTAGTAATTTGGCTTTGAAAAATCTTATTTTTCTCTAAACAAAACTTATTTTATGAAAAGCACATTCTGAAATGGTGCATTTGGATATTTGATGATTTATAGTTTTACTTCATTGTTTGTTTGAAAGAAAAAAAAGAGGTATTGTGAAAGTCATGTTGGCGTTGCCATCTGCAAACTATTTTGATCATATTTTTTTAAGTTTGATCGTTCATGGTGTTTTGTCTTCATACTTGGCCACAACAACCCTTGGGACGAGACCAGTTCAAGTAGACCAGACTAACCTTGACCTTTATTCATAAATAACCCTGACCTTAAAAGTCAAATGTCTAAATTTTGCTTGCTTGCTATTAATGGCTATAACTTTGTTATTTTGAATGGATTGTCATCAAATTTATGCGTAATAATTTGTTAGGAAAGACTTTCAAGTTAACTAGACAAACATTGACCTTGACCCATAAATAAACTTGTCCTTGAAGCTCAAATTATTGATATTTTTTTTTTTGCTGTAGCTGGCTATAATTTTGTTATTATTATTTTTGAATGGATTGATCTCATTTTATAAGACAGCATTCTTTAGGATAAGACCTTCAAGTAAGATCTTGGCACTTCATGACCTTGAAGGTTAAATTATTGAATTTTCACTGATTTTTGCTATAATTGACTGTAACTTAGTAATTAATTTATTAATTAATGGATTATCTTCATACTTTTTTGACAAAACAACATTTTGGACAATACCTTCTAGAATGTTGACTGCGTTTTACCTTATTGAATTTGGTTAAATTGTCTTAACTTTTTGCCGGGTTGCACAGGTGCAAACCCGGGTTATATTATGGTGAAAGTTGGGCGGTGGGCGGGCAGGCAGGCAGGCGGGAGAAAAACTTTCGTAACATTTTTCTAAGCAACTACTTATCACAGCCTCTTGATATTTGGCATACAGCATTAACATGTGGTCCCATAGCGTTGGATTTGATTTCAGGTCTGTCACTCATCCACTTCCGGTTTGCAGACCTAGTTAAATTTTCAACATTAATGGTCAATGCTCACAAATTTTAGTAACATTTTTCTCAGCAACTACTTATCACAGCCTCTTGATATTTGGCATATAGCATTAACATGTGGTCCCATAGCATGGGATTTGATTTCAGGTCTGTCGCACATCTACTAACTGTTTGCCAACCTAGTTAAATTTTGAACATTAATGGTCAATGCTAGTAACATTTTTTCTCAGCAACTACTTATCACAGCCTCTTGATATTTGGCATACAGCATTAACATGTGGTCCCATAGCATGGGATTTGATTTCAGGTCTGTCGCTCATCCACTTCCTGTTTGCCGACCTAGTTAAATTTTCAGCATTTATAATGGTCAATGCTAGTAACATTTTTTCTCAGCAACTACTTATCACAGCCTCTTGATATTTGGCATACAGCATTAACATGTGGTCTCATAGCGTGGGATTTGATTTCAGGTCTGTCGCTCCTCCTTGTTCTTTTTTTGCCGACTTAGTGTACCCAGACTATTCACTAAAATATGTCGTTAAATAGTTAAACATTTTAAATGCAACCCGGCCATTTCTGTCTTTGATCCACAGGGCCCTCGATCAACCAAATCTGCGGCGGATAATCGGCCGCAGTCCCCCACCAAAATAGTATGTTTTTTCCCCCTAACAGAGGTAAAAATTCCCCCTCTAATCATATAAAGTGTTAAAGAAAAAATGAAATCTAATGTTGTTTTTGAAAATTAAAATCCATGATCTATTTGATGGCTATTTTGTAGCGGAATATCGTACAGTACATGTCTGCACGTTCCCGTTTGTTTTTCCCCCCAAAATCTACTGTCACATATTCGCCTTTCAACCTGTAAAAATGCTAAAATTTCAACAGATAAGTATGCAAAAAAATCACAATTCCCATCAACATTTTGATTTCAAATTGTTTATTCATAAAATCATTTTTTTTTGTCTTCAAAATTTTACATCAACCACGGTAAATTTTGCCGTAAATTACAAACTTCTAAGTTTTGTTTTCATGATACTTTATGAAATAACTGATGGAAAACGATCTTATAATAAACAATCAATTTAATTTTATATAATTTTCATCAGCAACAACTAGAATTGTGTTACCTATTTGGGATTTAAAAAAAAAAATATGCAAGTAAATAAAAAACAGCTTATATTTAATTAAGTTTATTTGCTATTTGATCATAAAAGAAAAGAGGAAAATTCCCCCATACACTAAAATTCCCCCTGCTGAGGGTAGCGACCCACTTCCCCCAAATTGGATTGAGGGCCCTGACCCATTTTCTTATTTTTGCATGGATTTGATTTAAACTTGGACACAGCAAGACTTGCAACCAAACAAACATTTTGTAAAATTTAGATGTGACCTTGACCTTAAATTAATCTTTGACTGTCAAGGTCAAGTTCATGTTTCTGGCTTATATAATAACCTTGTTATTTATAAATGCAGTAACTTCATATTTGGACACATTTTTGAATATTTTTATATGACCTTGACCTTTAAATGATATTGACCATCAAATAGTTGATTTTTTATTATATTTTCTTAACTTTGTCATTTATTTATGAAAAGGAATCCAGTGTCTATTCTAGGATTCGAAAAATTGGAGGGGGGGGGATTTTTTTAAAAAAGTGAGAATTTATTACATTTGTTGAACTTTTTCCTTCTTTCCCTATGTAAAATTTATGTCTAATTTTCAATCTTTTTTGCCTAAGTTTCACATTTTCTGTCTTGTGTCCTGGATAAAATCTCACAAGATTCATTTCATCAAATGTTCCCACTTATTTAAGAGCATTGTGTATTCTCAGATGTGTCAAGTCCTCACAAGGTTTTTTTTTATTCTTCAATGTCCCAACAGTCACCATCAGTTGGATTCTCTTTTATTTTCTACATCTGAACTTGAATCAAGCATATTAAGTGCAGTAGGATATTTTTTTTCCTGCATTTTACAGTTACACACTTCAGTTCAATTAAAAATTCTTTTAAGGTATATGCTTCAAACTTCAAATATGTTTATCTATCATCAGCTACATGATGTGTGACAGGATTCACAACCCTATCACTCATTTTTGCAGATTTATCCCCCTTATAAATTGTTATTTTTAAGTGTGATCCTAGTTATAATAAATGATTTATAGTTTAGACTTAGGTTATTGTTCTTTGTCATTACTCACATCATGCACAACAATATTCATAACTCTAGTATCCTAATTGCTAAAAAAACTTCATATACAGTTATATGATTGATTTCAGATTTCAAATCATTGTATTAAAAACGTCTGACAGCTGTGGTGCAAAAATATTTGCTTTCGTGTCATTCATACAGAAATATATTTTCACCACAATTGACTTTTTTCATAGTTTTGTCTCCCTTTACTGCGTCCAGTATTTAATTAGTCGAGCGTTGCTGTCTCCTCTGACAGCTCTTGTTTAGATATTGGGTATCTAATGCCAACACTTTTCAAACATATTTTCCAAAATGAAAACGGAATAATTCAAAAATTAATTCCCCAAGTATCTAAGGAATAATGCTGAAATTCATTGTTACCTTGCACATCTGCTAAAGGGTGTTCATACCACCCAATTTAGATTTTTTAAAAGATAAAATGCCAAATAAATTTTGTCTGTTTCTTTATAAAATTATGATTATAAAATGTTAAACTTTAATAATTATTCAGGCTCTTTACACTATTTTTTACCTATTAAACCCTGGCTTACTTGGAATGACAGAACAAGATTTAGCCTAGTCCGTTTCTACGTTAAAGCAACGACAATAAAATTAAAATTTGATAGACTTTGAATTTTATAGTTGCTAGTCATTAGTTGTTATTTATAGTTATCTGATAAAATTAAAACAAATTGTTCATTTTTCATAGTTTATTTATCCTTTTTGTTCTATCGCATGGTTTCTTTACAATATGCATACGTGTATATATAACTGCTTAGTCAGTGTCCTTAAGAAACATTAAAAAAGACTTTAAAGCTAAAATATTCCCTTGCAATCAATATATCACTGTATGGCCAATAATTCTTTACCAATATAGTGATACCAAATTCCATGTCGATGGGACCTCTGTTTCAGTTTAGTCAGCAATAAAGCGGTTATACTCTGCATTTTGCAAGTTTTTAGCTCACCTGAGCTATTAGGATCACTCTTCGTCCGTCTTCTGTCGTCCGTCGTCCGTTCACAATTTTAAAATGACATCTCCTCTGAAACCATAAGGCAGATCATAATGAAACTTCACAGGGATGTTCCTTGTGTGAAGCCTTAACAAAGTTGTTCAAAGAATTCCATTCCATGCAGAACTCTGGTTTCCATGGCAACCAAAAGAAAAAACTTTAAATATTTTCTTCTAAAAAACCAAAAGAGCTAGAGCTTAGATATTTGGCATGAAAATCTTCTAGTGAGAGTCTACCAAGCTTGTTCAAATTAAAGCACTTGGGTCAAAATTGGCCCTGCCCCGGGGGTCATTCATTTTCCTTATATGTTTATAACAAAAACTTAAAACATCCTTTTTGGAAAAAAAAACAAATTGCTAGAGTTTAGATACTAAGCATGAAACATCTTCTAGTGAGTGTCTACCAAGTTTGTTCAAATAAAAGCCCTGGGGTCAAAATTAACCCCGCCCCGGGGGTCATTCATTTTCCTTATATGTGTATGACAAAAACTTACAAAATCTTCTTTGAAAAAAATCTCAAATAGCTAGAGTTTAGATATTAAGCACGAATCATCTTCTAGTGAGTGTCTACAAAGTTTGTTCAAATAAAAGCCCTTGGGTCAAAATTGGCCCCGTCCCAAGGGACATTGATTTTCCTTATATATGTTTAGCAAAAACTTAAAAATCTTATTTGAAAAAACCTGAATAGCTAGAGTTCAGATATTAAGCATGAAACATTGTCTAGTAAGTGTCTACAAAGATTGTTCAAATGAAAGCCCTGGGGTCAAAACTGGCCCTGCCCCAGCTTTGTCAATGTTTTTATCTATATTGTGTAAAGAAAAAAATCTTCTTTTAAAAAACCCAACAAGCTAGACCTTAGATGTTAAGCATGAAACATCTTCTAATGGGTGTCTACCAAGTTTGTTCAGATAAAAGCCCTGGGGTTTAAACTGGCCCCGCTCCGGGGGCCTATATACAGGTGAGCGACTTTAGGGCCATCATTGCCCTCTTGTCCTTAACTTGGTCTGAATTTGTACTTTACCAAAGAATCTCATATACATGCATTTTTGAAAATAGGTAAAGACATTGGGGTTAAGAGACAGGGTGCTGAGACAGCTGCAGAAATGGAGGACATAGGGATAAAGCCCCAGGATTAAGCCAAAAGGGTGCTGAGACAGCTGCAGAAATGGAGAACTTAGGGGTTAAGCAACAGGATGCTGAGACAGCTACAGAAATGGAGGACATAGGGGTTAAGCGACAGGGTGCTGAGACAGCTGCAGAAATGGAGGACATAGGGATAAAGCCCCAGGATTAAGCCAAAAGGGTGCTGAGACAGCTGCAGAAATGGAGAACTTAGGGGTTAAGCAACAGGATGCTGAGACAGCTACAGAAATGGAGGACATAGGGGTTAAGCGACAGGGTGCTGAGACAGCTACAGAAATGGAGGACATAGGGGTTAAGCGACAGGGTGCTGAGACAGCTAAAGAAATGGAGGACATAGGGGTTAAGCGACAGGGTGCTGAGACAGCTAAAGAAATGGCTGACGTAGGGGTTAAGCCCCAGGGTGTGAGACAGCTACAGAAATTGAGGACATAGGGGTTAAGCAACAGGATGCTGAGACAGCTGCAGAAATGGAGAACTTAGGGGTTAAGCAACAGGATGCTGAGACAGCTACAGAAATGGAGGACATAGGGGTTAAGCAACAGGATGCTGAGACAGCTACAGAAATGGAGGACATAGGGGTTAAGCGACAGGGTGCTGAGACAGCTAAAGAAATGGCTGACGTAGGGGTTAAGCCCCAGGGTGTGAGACAGCTACAGAAATTGAGGACATAGGGGTTAAGCGACAGGGTGCTGAGACAGCTGCAGAAATGGAGAACTTAGGGGTTAAGCAACAGGATGCTGAGACAGCTACAGAAATGGAGGACATAGGGGTTAAGCAACAGGATGCTGAGACAGCTACAGAAATTGAGGACATAGGGGTTAAGCGACAGGGTGCTGAGACAGCTACAGAAATGGAGAACTTAGGGGTTAAGCAACAGGATGCTGAGACAGCTGCAGAAATGGAGAACTTAGGGGTTAAGCAACAGGATGCTGAGACAGCTACAGAAATGGAGGACATAGGGGTTAAGCAACAGGATGCTGAGACAGCTACAGAAATGGAGGACATAGGGGTTAAGCGACAGGGTGCTGAGACAGCTAAAGAAATGGCTGACGTAGGGGTTAAGCCCCAGGGTGTGAGACAGCTACAGAAATTGAGGACATAGGGGTTAAGCGACAGGGTGCTGAGACAGCTGCAGAAATGGAGGTCATTGAGGTTAAGCAACAGAGTGCTGAGACAGCTGCAGAAATTGGGGACTTTGAGGTGAAGCAACAGGGTTTTTTCTAAGAGATAAATTTTGGCATTTTATGTATTTCCTAAAGGGTGAAAGCAACTATAAAAGAGGCAGTGATTGCATCAGAAGGACTGTAAATTCTTGCCACCTTCAGTGTCCAGAACGAATTACAAGCACTAAACTTAGAAAATATTTGGCAACAGTTTCTCAGGTAAGGTATAATTTAAGACATTGTGTAGATCTCTGAAATTGTTTCTTTGAGGTGACATTGTTTTGCAGAATCTTATGTCGAGATCATTGATCAGGCCTCGATGAATTTTTTTACCAGGCGAGTGACCGTTCAAATTAACTCGCCCTTCTTATGTGACAAGGTTCATAACTCTTGTACCAGTATCTTGTGAATCATCTCCCCATTAACTTGGATTTTTTACTTGAAAAATGTTATTTTTTACCATAACTTCTTTAGTTTTAAAGTTATCTACCTCGAATTTCAAATACATATTACTTATCATCAATCATCGCATCCAAGGACCAGGTCCCTAGGTCAAAGGTCAAGGTCACACTATCATTTTGAAGTTTTACATCATACACATTCTTGTCCGGACTGTAACTTTGTCATACATTGAGGGATTTTGAAATAACTTGGCACAAATGTCTACCACATCAAGATGATGTGTCGCGTCCACAAACCAGGTCCCTAGGTCAAAGGTCACACTATCATTTGTAAAATCCAACAAGACAATATGTAAAATATGTTTCTGTTGTTTAAAGTATCGCAGATCTAAATGTGTAATACACACGAATTGACCTTTGACAGGTGCATAAGCTTTTCAAAAGAATCTGCCACCCTTTGATGTATTTACTCTATCACCATCAAAGAGCCGTTGACATTCACACTTTTTAGCTCGACTATTCGATAAGAATATGTAGAGCTATTGTAGTCTCCCGAGCGTCGGCGTCGGCGTCTGCGTCGGCGTAACCACTTATGTTAAAGTTTTTGTAATAGTTCAAATATTTTCAAAGTCCATTGACATATGGCTTTGAAACTGTGCACACTTGTTCACCATCATTGCCCCAACCTGTATACAGGAGGAGGTAACTGTATCAATCATTTTGACAGAACTATGCCCCTTTTTTGACTTAGAATTTACAATAAAGTTTTTGTAATAGTTCAAATATTTTAAAAGTCCATTGACATATGGCTTTGAAACTTTGCACACTTGTTCACCATGATTACCCCAACCTGTAAACAGGATCAAGCATTTTTTTTTACTATCAAGCACTAAGAATAGTCGAGCGTTGCTGTCCTACCGACAGCTCTTGTTGATTAAAGTTCTGTCTTCATTATTTTGTTAAGAAAGTTTGTACATGTTGAATAATAGGTTCAAGTGTTACACCAAAAACAAAAGGAAGCATATTTTGTTGGAATATTTTCGGTCTCATTTATGTTTAAGTCGTAAATTCACGGGTGGATTTGTACATGTGATAATGAAAGAATAGAACCTGGAAACATTAAATATGTATTGATTATGTGTGTTTTGAGATTAAAACTGTTGAAAAGGGAGAGAGATAATGAGAGAGAGAGAGAGAGAGTATCTATATAGAACCTATACATTTAATATAGCATCTATATAGATGAAACGTCCATTCAAAAGTGGTGTTTAAATGTTTGAACCTTTTTATTTTGTGCTTGACCCATATTTTTTAAACCTCTAAAAGTAATTTCATAAAAAATATTTTCAAATGTTCAACTCATCAATACTGGCAACCCCCTGACGTATCTTTTGGATGGGGGCGGCGCCGAAAAGGTGCTCAAAAAATAACAAAAAATGATGAAAAACTTTGGAATCACCCAAAATCTAGTTTTTCCATGTTAACATGTGGTCTTTCACCTAATTTAGTGAATTTCTTTTGTTTTGTAACATTTATATTTTTTAGTTAACCCTTTCCCCCATGAGCATATTGTTAAAAAATGGCCGTTTTCACTGAAAAGCCTCCTGTTACAAGTTCAAACTGCTATGAAACTATGAAAAATGCTTCAATACTAATCAAACCTGGCACAAATGTTGATTGGCCCATTGCCTTTGTAACGACATGCTCAGTCTTAAATTTCATGTTACCATGGCAACGAGGGGACATCTCAAAATTGCCAAAAATCACTATTTTGCCTCGATTTTTTCCATCAAATTTATTTCAAAGTGCTGCAACTTCTCAAGGGATTGAGATAGAGTCAAAGGCTTTTCAGCATTGGTAATGTTGTCTTGGTTAGGTTCTGGTTATTTAAAAGGATCCAAAACATAAAAAGAAACACCATGTAGCAGTTCTACTTAATATTATTTTATAGATAAAACACCTGATATGTCACATATATTATACATCATGATCAATGTCCATTCCACTTCATAAATTAGATCTACTCCTCTCCAATTCTCCAAACATACATTTTGTACTAAATTTAATCGTTGACATGACTTAATTCAATATGTTAACTTTGCAGACAACATGAAATTAATAATAATTTTACGGCAAAATATCATTTTTTTCTCTATATATTTCAATAGTCAGCATTTTCTCGCCTGCATGTAAAGAGCGTTAAATTTATCGAACATATAGGAAAAGACGTTTTAAGGCCTTAAATAAAATTGAATTTATATCTAGCTGATCAGCACTTTTTCGCAAATTTAAATGGTCGGCATAATTTTATAAAATATGTTTTCCTGAATGTAAAGAGCGTTAAATTAACTACTAATGAACTAAACAAAGAAACAATCATTTTAGAGCTAATTTCCTTCAATACCTGTTTGTAAAATTTACGGCTAAATGATCAACATTTTATCTATTTTTTGTGTGATATATCCAAAGAGGGTCATTTGTGTTTTTCACACCATGGAATGGAATCTAAATCTGATTAAAGAGTAAGAAAACTTAATTGATGGAACTGAACTTCTGTTATGTAACATGTTTAGTAATTTATGACCAGTGATCATAATGTTTTCACATGATTTTGGGGTGTGAACAATGTTGCAAAAATAGGTTTTATTTAACTACCAAGATTAAACTAAAAACTGTAAAATCATATTCAAAATTCTCATGAACAATTAAATGTGAAAACGGTCCCCTTGATAAAATTATCAAACAGTCTTGAACAATTGATTTGAAACTGATAACATTTCTCATTTTTTTCGATTTATCTTTCGTGTCTTTTTTAGAAATGTTACTAAACATTCCCTTTTAATCGTATTGAATCGATCGAAATTTACCTGTAACATTCAATTTTTTTATATTCTAGTCTAAATTTATCATAAAATTGTCTAATATCAACTGTTTGCCGGTGACCATATTAACTTTATTTTAGATATATAGCGAAACTAGCTCAACTTGAAAATGAAAAAAAAAGAACATAATTTCACTTTATTAACAAAAGATACCAACACATTACACATCATCTATTCGCCATCATTTTCTGAAAATAATTTGATTCAGAACAACTTAATCTTAAGAACCTATGGGGAAAAGTAATTTACATTTGTTACAGCAAGTTTATTTTCCCAAATATTCTTTATTTTGTGTGTTTGTGTTTGTTTATCCTCGCGACCGGAAAAATATATAAAATAGCCTGTAAGTCCCAATTAAGAATTATTTACTGCCTCGTTGCTCTCATTTACAACGCCCCTTAAGACGGGAATCGCTGGACCATCGATATGCTACCAATCAGATAATTATGACCGTTTTAGAGGTTATCCAATGAAATCAGGTGATCACGCGCTGCCTTTCGCGACTGGTCAATTAGTAGATCTTGACCACGCCTATCAGTTAATAATTATTAGTGGTGTGTATGCATTGTAATTAGTTTAAGATATTAACATAATCAATGCCATCTTTGTTTATTCTTATGCAAAATTACAAGTATAATGGCTTTAAAATTATTTACGTCAATGAAAATGCGCAAATAAATAAGTCGTGCACGCAAAGTAATAAATGAAAACATGAATAAAATATATGATAAAATATATATTTATTTTATTTATTTATTTATTTATTTATTCATTTATCTATTTATTTATTGTTCATTTATTTTATTTATTTATTTATTTATTTATTTATTTATTTATTTATTTATTTATTTATTCATTCATTCATTCATTAATTCATTCATTCATTCATTCATTCATTCATTCATTCATTCATTCATTCATTCATTCATTCATTCATTGGATGATAACCGTATCAATCACTTGGCTGTAAGATTGGGCGGGGTTTAGCATATGCAATTCTTATTTTCAATTACCAATGAATAAAGGAATTCTCATGCTGCTGCTGCTGCTGCTGCTGCTGATGCTGATGCTGCTGCTGCTGCTGCTGCTGCTGCTGCTGCTGCTGCTGCTGCTGCTGCTGCTGATGATGATGATGATGATGATTATTATGATGATGTAGCTGTTGTGTATACATGTATTCATAATGCATTTTAGATTGGTATTGACACATATATGTGATATATGTATTTCAATCAATGTCTTACATTAGAATTTTTGAGGCTGCACTATGTACACAAGTCGATCAGTAATAATTATTATGTTCAATTGTGTTGTAAGAAAAACTGTCTCGTTGTGAAAAAATTGAGAAAAAACGACACATTAACTCCTTTACAACAGAACTCATTTACCGCAGCAACCCTTTAATGAAAAACAACAGCTTCCGATAATCTGGCTAATTTGTTAAGCCGCTTTATATTTTATCGACATCATATAAGAATACACCTTAAGGCATATAACTTGACGGACCCCTGTAGCGCTGAATGCCATATATATCGAACACTTGTAGATGCTGTCTTTATCTGATCACGATCAATTCAGTCGCTTTAACTAGCTTACTCTTGACAATCATAAATATCAGGCATCCGAAGGTGCTGTCTTAATCTGATCGGGGTAATAAAGCGCTTTGACCGTATTAATTACTAAAATAAAGACTCAGGTTCAACATTTCAAAGTTATCTCTTGAAATACAAATAACCAAAATTGCGGAATTGCATTGTAGAAATCAAGTCTTCTAGGCCCTATCCGTCAGTCTTCGAATAAGGACCTCGTCTAATATCAAGAATATACAGAATGGATACGGTGTTTCGCTTTAATCTATGATAAAAGAAACTAAACATGTAAACAAATATTAAATTATTGCTTGGAGTCGTTGACATTTTTTTTTAAATATATTAAGTAAAATGCCATCTAAAATAACTAAATTCATAGAACAAATAAAAAACACTACTAACTGAAATAGATGACTGGACTACAGCATACGGTTTCATAATAAAATATATCAAAAAGCAAGTTATATTTAAAGAAAAAACAAATAAATCGTAGCGAAAACATCCAAATTT